TTTCATACTCATATTCCAAGAAATGGATTTTATACGAATTTTTAAAACTTAATCGGCGAAAATTGCAAAATTCGAAAAAATTATCGATCATTTCAAAAATTTATTTCTTAAGAACTAAAAGTGATTTTTCAAAACGGCTTTTTGCATTAAAAAGAGGATACTTTATTTAATAATCGAAAGTGATAACAGCGACAGTTCTGTTAGTAATGAATGTGATGATGAATTACAAGCGAAGAGAAGAAAACTAGATGAAACTGCACCAAGAGATTTTTTACATCCTATTGGGATTGCTACAATGAGGTTGCTAATGGCAAATTTGATATAAACACAGTTGTATTAAATGGAAAAAGTCCTATTGGGGTTGAACTTGATTATTATTTGCAGTGTCCAACACCTAAAAGAGATACTAATTCCTATGAATGGTGGAGTACTAAGTAATAGATTCTTAATATCCGGTCATTTGAGTTCAAAATACGGTTCAAATCTATTCTGGGAAACAGAGAAGCCAAGCACCATCATTGCAGCTTTTCCAAGTCTTTAAGTATTTTTAAGTAAGACAGCTAATCATCAGTAAGACTTCTACTTGTAGGAAGAAGTCCAACTGAATCCAACCCAACTTGAGCCAAACCCAACCTGAACCAACCCAACCTAAGCCAAAATTAACCTGAGTCAAACCCAACTCAACTCAATTGTACCCAATAATGTTGAAGCTAAAAGGAACAGTATTAAAATGATTCAATATTTATTGAAGATTTTTATTACATCCCTTATTCTAACAACTTAATCGTAAAAACAAAACAAAAATAATAACTTATTCTAATTAAATATTTACATAAAAACCAATAACTTTAAAATGTTTCTATTTGATTTTTTCGGGCGATTCCGTTCGATTCGGACTATTAACTTCATCTATGGGTGGAACGCCGAACACATAACTTAAGGGTGGACAATAGGGAGCTGAAAATAAGGTGGGATATTGTGCTGTGGGGTTAAAATAATGCGGCGGAAACAATCCTTGGCGTTGCGCCATCTTCAATCGGGTTGTTAATTGTTTTTTCCATTTCGTGCGTCGATTTTGAAACCACGTCTTAATTTGGACCTCGGTTAAATTAAGAGCTTTCGAAAGCTCCATGCGTTTACTAACGCTCAGGTATTTATCGACTTTGAATTCGCTTTCTAAACGTTCTAATTGTTTCGCGCTGTAAGCTTGTCGTGGCTTTCGATCTAAACCAGGTTTTCTCGATCTTCTATTCGATGGTTTTGGCGCTGAAAGAAATAAAAAGAACAAGAATTATTAATCAAATAATTCTTCTTCTAAACATGTGTTCTTAATTTTTTACTTAATTATCAACCATCGTAAAAGTCAATGTGTTAATTAACGTTGTCCTCTTGAAATATTTACGAGGTGAAGAGAGGACGATGATGTTCAGGTCGTAATCTGCATACTTAAATATTACTTAACGAGTCGTTGAGATATGGCGATAGAAACGTGGTGTAGGGAAATTTTCGAGAATTTTTTTTCCGGTTGAAATTTGTCCGAGCACGTTAAACGAAAGACTCCACACACACAAACGCACACCTCCTCCTTTGGACGGAGGTGTTAAACGTTTCTGTCAATAGTTATGGTGGCAGCGCATACATAAAGCTAATTGGAAACGTAAACGCGACGAAATATTGCTCTTTTGTACGCTATTATGCTGTATAAAATCATGTTTTATTAATGTATTTAAAAAGAGGATGTGTTTGATTTCTTTTTGAATGGGTTTCATATTTTGATAAGTTTTAATGAGCTCCTTTTTTAAATTAAGAAATTGTAATCTTTAAATTTCAGATGTTAGATCTCCTACATTACTAATAATTATAGTTGGATTATAATGGCTCCTGGATAAAATTTGATTCATAATTTATAATAAAAATTTTTATCCAAAAATAGCAATATTGAGGTTTGGAGATTTTACGGTTTATAGCTACAAATAGGAAACAGTTGAAATTAAATTCTTTATAGATTATGTTTTTGTGGTTCATTATGAACAATTTTTATTAATATTATTCTCATGCACGATTTTTCGATTTTGAGTTGAAACTCATTTTCTTTTAAAATGCCTCAAATATGAAAAGATTGGGATTTCAGCTTGCTATGTTGGTAATGATTATAGTTGGATTTTAATAACTTATAAATAACGCTTTTTTGGTTTATTACAAACAATTTTTATCCACAAAATTTTTTTATAACAGTTTTCGTTTTCGATTTATATAAATTTTTATTAAAAAATGACAATTTAAGCATTTGGGGATTTTACGGTTCATACCAACAAATACGAAATACTTATAAAGAAATTCTTTACAGATTATGTTTTTGTCCTTCATTATAAACAATTTTCATAAATATTATTCTCATGCACGATTTTTAGATTTTGAATTGAAACTCATTTTGTTTTAAAATGTCTCAAATATGAAAAGATTGGGATTTCAGCTCTGCTATGTTGGTAATGATTATAGTTGGATTTTAATAACTTGTAAATACCGTTTTGTTGGTTTATTACTAACAATTTTTATCCACAACATTTTTTTCTAACAGTTTTCGTTTTCGACTTACATAAATATTTATTCAAAAATGACAATTTAAGCATTTGGGAATTTTACGGTTTATAGCAGCAAAAATGAAATAGAAGGAAAGAAATTCTTTATAGATTATGTTTTTGTGCTTCATTATAAACAATTTTCATTAATATTATTCTCGTGCACGATTTTTAGATTTTGAGTTGAAACTCATTTTGTTTTAAAATGCCTCAAATATGAAAAGGTTGGGATTTCAGCTCTGCTATGTTGGTAATGATTATAGTTGGATTTTAATAACTTATAAATAACGTTTTGTTGGTTTATTACTAACAATTTTTATCCACAACATTTTTTTCTAACAGTTTTCGTTTTCGATTTATACATAAATATTTATTCAAAAATGACAATTTCAGCATTAGGGGATTTTAGAGTTTATAGCAACAAATACGAAATAGTAAGAAAGAAATTCTTTATAGATTATGTTTTTGTGCTTCATTATAAACAATTTTCATTAATATTATTCTCATGCACGATTTTTAGATTTTGAGTTGAAACTCATTTTGTTTTAAAATGCTTCAAATATGAAAAGATTGGGATTTCAGCTCTGCTATGTTGGTAATGATTATAGTTGGATTTTAATAACTTGTAAATAACATTTTGTTGGTTTATTACTAACAATTTTTATCCACAACATTTTTTTATAACAGTTTTCGTTTTCGACTTACATAAATATTTATTCAAAAATGACAATTTAAACATTTGGGGATTTTACGGTTTATAGCAACAAAAACGAAATAGTAGGAAAGAAATTCTTTATAGATTATGTTTTTGTGCTTCACTATAAACAGTTTTCATTAATATTATTTTCATCTACGATTTTTAGATTTTGAGTTGAAACTCATTTTGTTTTAAAATGCCTCAAATATGAAAAGATTGGGATTTCAGCTCTGCTATGTTGGTAATGATTATAGTTGGATTTTAATAACTTGTAAATAACGTTTTGTTGGTTTATTACTAACAATTTTTATCCACAACATTTTTTTCTAACAGTTTTCGTTTTCGACTTACATAAATATTTATTCAAAAATGAAATTTAAGCATTTGGGGATTTTACAGTTTATAGCAACAAATCGAAATAGTAGGAAAGAAATTCTTTATAGATTATGTTTTTGTGCTTCATTATAAACAATTTTCATTAATATTATTCTCATGCACGATTTTTAGATTTTGAGTTGAACCTCATTTTGTTTTAAAATGCCTCAAAAATGAAAAGTTTGGGATTTTAGCTTTGCTACATTGGTAATAGTTATAGTTGGATTATAATAACTTGTAAATAACGTTTTGTTGGCTTATTACTAACAATTTTTATCCACAACATTTTTTTCTAACAGTTTTCGTTTACGATTTATACATAAATATTTATTCAAAAATGACAATTTCAGCATTCGAGGATTTTACAGTTTATAGCAACAAAAACGAAATAGTAGGAAAGAAATTCTGTATAGATTATGTTTTTGTGCTCCATTATAAACAATTTTCATTAATATTATTCTCATGCACGATTTTTAGATTTTGAGTTGAAACTCATTTTGTTTTAAAATACCTCAAATATGAAAAGGTTGGGATTTCAGCTCTGCTATGTTGGTAATGATTATAGTTGGATTTTAATAACTTATAAATAACGTTTTTTTGGTTTATTACTAACAATTTTTATCCACAACATTTTTTTCTAACAATTTTCGTTTTCGACTTACATAAATATTTATTCAAAAATGACAATTTAAGCATTTGGGGATTTTACAGTTTATAGCAACAAAAATGAAATAGAAGGAAAGAAATTCTTTATAGATTATGTTTTTGTGCTTCATTATAAACAATTTTCATTAATATTATTCTCATGCACGATTTTTAGATTTTGAGTTGAAACTCATTTTGTTTTAAAATGCCTCAAATATGAAAAGATTGGGATTTCAGCTCTGCTATGTTGGTAATGATTATAGTTGGATTTTAATAACTTGTAAATAACGTTTTGTTGGTTTATTACTAACAATTTTTATCCACAACATTTTTTTCTAACAGTTTTCGTTTTCGATTTATACATAAATATTTATTCAAAAATGACAATTTAAGCATTTGGGGATTTTACAGTTTATAGCAACAAAAATGAAATAGAAGGAAAGAAATTCTTTATAGATTATGTTTTTGTGCTTCATTATAAACAATTTTCATTAATATTATTCTCATGCACGATTTTTAGATTTTGAGTTGAAACTCATTTTGTTTTAAAATGCCTCAAATATGAAAAGATTGGGATTTCAGCTCTGCTATGTTGGTAATGATTATAGTTGGATTTTAATAACTTGTAAATAACGTTTTGTTGGTTTATTACTAACAATTTTTATCCACAACATTTTTTTCTAACAGTTTTCGTTTTCGATTTATATAAATATTTATTCAAAAATGACAATTTAAGCATTTGGGGATTCTACAGTTTATAGCAACAAAAATGAAATAGAAGGAAAGAAATTCTTTATAGATCATGTTTTTGTGCTTCATTATAAACAATTTTCATTAATATTATTCTCATGCACGATTTTTAGATTTTGAGTTGAAACTCATTTTGTTTCAAAATGCCTCAAATATGAAAAGATTGGGATTTCAGCTCTGCTATGTTGGTAATTATTATAGTTGGATTTTAATAACTTGTAAATAACGTTTTGTTGGTGTATTACTAACAATTTTTATCCACAACAATTTTTTCTAACAATTTTCGTTTTCGACTTATATAAATATTTATTCAAAAATGACAAATTAAGTATTTGGTGATTTTACGATTTATAGCAACAAAAACGAAATAGGAGGAAAGAAATTCTTTATAGATTATGTTTTTGTGGTTCATTATGAACAATTTTCATTAATATTATTCTCATGCGCGATTTTTAGATTTTGAGTTGAAACTCATTTTGTTTTAAAATTCCTCAAATATGAAAAGATTGGGATTTCAGCTCTGCTATGTTGGTAATGATTATAGTTGGATTTTAATAACTTGTAAATAACGTTTTGTTGGTTTATTACTAACAATTTTTATCCACAACATTTTTTTCTAACAGTTTTCGTTTTCGATTTACATAAATATTTATTCAAAAATGATAATTTAAGCATTTGGGGATTTTACAGTTTATAGCAACAAAAATGAAATTATAGATTATAGATTATGTTTTTGTGGTTCGTTATGAACAATTTTCATTAATATTATTTTTATCTACGATTTTTAGATTTTGAATTGATTTACATTGATAATAGATAAATTTTGTCTACAAATTAGGATATATATCACCTTCCTGAGACATTTCGTTTTGGTGATACGATTTTTTAAAACGTCTTTTATATTAAAAAAGTTTCATTGAATTTTTCTTTCAATTTTAAGTAGATTTAGTGAAATGATTTGAGTAAAAGATGATTTGTCACATCATAACTAAGTAAAACCCCTCTTTTGTATAAGTACCAACCAACACCGGAGCTGGTCCATTGAAGCAAACGATGCTATAATGTACCCCCGCGACGAATGGGGCGCGAATAAATGTAGTTAAGTGGCTGGTATCATTTTACGATTCCCGGATCTGCATCCAGCTGATACCCCATTGTCCACGTTAAGTGGTTTTCCCCAACGATCCTACCCCTGTCTAATAACCCTATTCATTACCAGACATCGTTTCAAAAATGATTAACACCACGTTTAAATCTTATAAACATTTATTTATAAAATAAAAAATTTCAAATTGATTAAGATAACATTTTCTTTTATTATTTTCCACTATCTTTGTGTTGATGGACGTGTTGAAAAATGTTTTAAAGTGGTGGGCCCTTTTTGGTAGATTTTTTTCTTTCGTCCGACTCTGTGGAGGAGCTTTTAAACGTGATTTATCTGTTTATGAGAGCGGACGCGGTGCAACGCGAGCTTCCCGCTGGTTATTACTTGTTTTAAACAGGTGTTTCGGACGCTTTTATTCGCACAGGCGCCGGACGTGATGTAGAATCACGAGCGGAGGAAGTAATGGACCATCATAAAACCCATAATCGATTTCGAGGGAGGATCAACCGAAAACGTTTTGCTAAAAGGAAAACTTTTAAAACGTTTTGATTTTCAAAAACTAACGATCTAGTAGTTAACGCTCTACATAGCAGAAATGAGACAATTTCTTTTTTATCTTCTCGTGGTTAATTCACTAGAAAATTGTGCCTTACGGTATTTTAAACGACTATAAGAGAAGACGTAAAGAATTTTAAGATTTAGAAAAGAAATAAAAACCAAGAAAGATGTTGTTTGTAGTCAAATTATTTTACTTTGTTTATTTTGTAAGAATCGGATTTTGCTACAACGTTATTGATGTGGATGACATTTTATCCGATGATTTAATGCCTGGTAATCTTTTAATGCTAGAAAATGCGAATAGAAGTGATACAAAAGATAATATCACAACAGGATCTTTAAATGATGCTATGTCGACCATGGACTTTCATAGGTAAGCTTTAAATTTTAAATTAAAATAATTAATTTTTATTATTTTTTTAGGTCAAAAATGAATGAGTACCTGTGCAGAAATTATTTAGCGGAGCAAATTGTGCAAGACATGACCATTCCAACATTTTCAAGAAGATCAAGCACCACTCCACTTAATTCTAAAGAATCTTTGATGATCGATGAAGGATCAAAATCGTACAAAGATTGGTTATCTAAGTAAAAAAATATTTTGAGATAAATCCTAAATTATATTAATTCATTTTTGTAGAAGTGCCACATTAGAAGACATTTACAGGCATTATAACACCCAATCTAATCCCACCCAATCAAGAAGGAACGATGAGGTTCGCAACGAAGAGGAAAACGAAGAATATGACACCCACGTAACCAATTACGTTTACGAACACCCAGCAAAACACACCACTTATAATTTGTACGGATCCGGAAGCGGTTATGGTTTAGCAACCCCATCTTTAAGTTATTATCCATCCATTCTCAATGGAAACAGCAATTATGGAACGGTATCAGTGCACAGTTATGATTCAAACCACGCAAATCAAAATTATTCCCCGAAATATAATAAAGAAAAAGACGTCACAGATTTATTCGATATAGCATTGACAGCTTTAGCCTATTTATCTTTTGGAATGTTCATCGTCCACGTTGTTATGTGCATTGCAGCAGTGGTAAAAATCATTTAAAAAGTATATTTAAATTAAAGAAATACACATTTTTTTATTTAGACCAACAACACCACCACCGTTGTCACCATGATGCCTATGAGTATGGGACCGGAACCGACAGGTGAAGGTATGATTACAAGTACAACTGAAAATGGGATGGGTGGGGACATGACTATGACTATGACTGGTAATGGAGGTAATGAAATGACTGGAAATGGAAATGAAGGTGAAGAAATGACTGGGGAAGGTGGTGGAATGACTGGAAATGGGAATGGAGGTGATAGTATGACTGGGGAAAGTGATGGAATGACTGGAAATGGAGAAGGAATGACTGGGAATGGGAACGGAGGGGATGAAATGACTGGAGAAGGTGGTGGAATGACAGGAAATGGGAATGGGGATGATGGTATGACTGGGGAAGGTGGTGGAATGACTGGAAATGGGAATGGAGGTGATGAAATGACTGGAGAAGGTGGTGGAATGGCTGGAAATGGGAATGGAGATGATGGAATGACTGGAAATGGAGAAGGAATGACTGGGAATGGGAACGGAGGGGATGAAATGACTGGAGAAGGTGGTGGAATGACTGGAAATGGAGAAGTGACTGGGAATGGGAACGGAGGAGATGAAATAACTGGAGAAGGTGGTGGAATGACTGGGAATGGGAACGGAGGGGATGAAATGACTGGAGAAGGTGGTGGAATGACTGGAAATGGAGAAGGAATGACTGGGAATGGGAACGGAGGAGATGAAATAACTGGAGAAGGTGGTGGAATGACAGGAAATGGGAATGGTGATGATGGTATGACTGGGGAAGGTAATGGAATGACTGGAAATGGGAATGGAGGTGATGGAATGACTGGAGAAGGAGGAGAAAATGGAAATGGTGGAGATGGTGCTACTGGAAACGGCGATGAGGATGAAGGTATGACTGGAGAAGGAGATGCGAACGGAGGTGATGGTATGACTGCGTTTGATGAGGGCGAAGGAAAAGTAACAGCAAGAGAACAACGATTTACAACGCTAAGAAATATAAAAAACTCCCCCAAAAAACTAAAAAGTTTCCAAATATCAGGTAAAAGTAAGCTCATTATGACAAGTAATTAATTCAGCCGAAAACAAAAACTATATATACATAGTAAGACATAATACAGTGAATTTCACTTAAGATGCAATATACAAAAATCACTTTGTTCCACATAAAATGTAACATGTCTGAAAATGCTTAGCTAAACGCGATGCTTTCTAGGTCTAGTGTTAGTTCTAGTTTTGTATTAACACTATCAGTAGAAGTAACACAAGATCTAGAACTAGAATCATTCGGCTTTAGCCGTCTTGAGAGACGTGCGGCTAAATCCGAATGTTTCTAGTTCTAGGTCTTGTGTTAGTTCTAGTTTGTATTAGAACTATCACGAGAACTAACACAAGACCTTGAACTAGAATCATTCAGGTTTAGCCGTCTTGAGAGACGTGCGGCTTCGTGTTAGTTCTAGTTTTGTACTAGCACTATAACTAGAACTAACACAAGACCTAGAACTAGAATCATTCGGGTTTAGCCGTCTTGAGAGACGTGCGGCTAAATCCGAATGTTTCTAGTTCTAGGTCTAGTGTTAGTTCTAGTTTTGTACTAGCACTATAACTAGAACTAACACAAGACCTAGAACTAGAATCATTCGGGTTTAGCCGTCTTGAGAGACGTGCGGCTAAATCCGAATGTTTCTAGTTCTAGGTCTAGTGTTAGTTCTAGTTTTGTACTAGCACTATAACTAGAACTAACACAAGACCTAGATCTAGAATCATTCGGGTTTAGCCGTCTTGAGAGACGTGCGGCTAAATCCGAATGTTTCTAGATCTAGGTCTAGTGTTAGTTCCAAAACATTTCCTTTGCAAAACTACTCAATGCCTGTACTATTGAGCTATGTTGCTTTTGACAGTGCAAGTTTATGTGGGACAGTGCAATTCATATATTGTGAGTTATATGAAATTTCCAGTATATAATGGTGTAGATGTGTGAGAAAATGAAAGGTCATATTTGGGGTTGTGAATTAATGTGATTAACTCATTGAAAGAATAATAAGTGAACGTGTAAAATATGAATGAGTAAAATATGATGATATGAAAATCGCTGGATTGCAAGAACAACAAAATCAAGAAAAAAACATCACGCAAAAACCAAAACCAAAAAGACACAAAACATAAAGACTAACAAAAAAGACATTTACTGACAAAGACATAAAGGGTGGTCAAATATTTCTAATACACACAAAAATTTTAATTACTTTAATTTTACCATATATTATTAATTTTTTTTGTATTATAAAAAGTAGAAGAAGCTGTAAGAATAAAAGACAACCTTAACTTCAGACACAAAAGACAAGTACAATCCGATATCAACATCAACGAGCTTGCACGAAAAATTTTAACATCCATAGAGGCAGCTTTGGTGGCCAATGAGGATAAAGGATCATGTTTAAGGTTACAATTGTGCGAAAATAATAAATATTCAAGAGGTTTAAATGATAATGGGAAACTTTGGATACCAGTTTGGAGGTAAATCTTTTATTAATGAAGAATTATTTATTAATAAAAAAGTTTTTAGTTTGGGAATGAGTTGGTTATCGGGAAAATTAATTAAAAACGTTCCTGCGGCAACTTCAATGCTCGACGGACTGAAAGCTTCGATTTTAGGGCTGGGAAAAGCGAATTGCGATCGGATTTACAAAGATTGCAATTTACACGATGAAAGGATAAAACAAAAAGTTAAAAGAAAAAAATAATTTTGCGTTTTACTACGAGATGGGGTAATAAAAAAAATTGTCTGTAGACTTTAAGGTTGCCCTTTGATTGTAGATGACGCGATTATATTGAGCGGTTTTAATATTTTAGTACCCCCATTGAAAGGTGGCGTTTGAAAGCTTTATAATCGATGCCCTATTTCTGCATTTACAGATACGACCATGTAATTGATCACGGGAATAAAATATTTAATTTATAAATAAATTATTCAATTTTTTATTTAGCCCCTAAAATAAATTGAATTAATAAAGGAAGGGAATTTTGTTATTTATTTTTTTTAACTAATTAAAAAAATTGATTAATTTAGGTTTAAAAATTAAAATTTTAAGGTGATTAAGCTCGGCGATGGGGTGGCAGGGGGGTTTTAGTAGAAAGCTCGGAACCCGGAGCGGCGACAGCAGCACCAGCAACAGCAGCAGTACCAGAATTTATTTCAGTAGAGCACGGAACGTCGCGCTGAGTGCAAAGCTCAAACGTAGGGACGCCGCATTCGAAAGCTCACACGAGATAATAATGCATCCAGGTGCCTTCGACAGAATGAGAATTTGGTTACTCCCCGTTCTTATCATTCACGTGGCCGTCGCCGGAAATCCCGATGCCAAAAGACTCTACGACGACCTCCTTTCCAATTACAATAAGCTCGTTAGACCCGTCGTTAATACATCGGATGTGCTTCGAGTTTGTATTAAGTTAAAGCTTTCACAACTTATTGATGTGGTGAGTAAACGAATAATTTATTTGTTGGTTTAAAAAAAATTCAGCTAATGTAAACATATATTTTGTGGGGAAAAGCTCGATTAAGGTGGGGGTAGATTTATATCTCGGGGGATTCCAAAAATGATCTCAAAATTTCCCAATAATTTAACCAGTAATAACTTCATAAATTCTGCAATGAAAATGAATATATCATTTGTAAAAAAAGTAGTTAAAGTAAAAAAGTGAGGAAAAATCACGAATCAAAATCAATCAAAAAAAAGTAAAAGCCATCAAGCTGTAATTTTGAATTTTCCGCTCTAACAGTTTCGTTCAATCGTCCGTGTTGTAATCCTGTGTTCGAGGTGAAAAAGTGGAAAAGAGTAGCGTTTTTCCAACTGTACCAACCCCTCTTAAACCGTTGATGGTTAATCGATACGTGAAAACGAAGAAAAACGGTTAAAGTCGTTTGAATATCACAAAATAAAATGATTAAGAAAGAAATTTAATCTAACACAAAAGTAGAAAATGGTTTTCTTCCTTTTCAAAAGTGTTATTATATAACAATTTGTGGCATTAAAATCGGCTTTCCCGCGATTTTCTTCGTCCCGTTTCGTTCTCGCGGTAAAAATTAGCAATTAAACGTTCTCGCTCTGAGAATTTAATACCTTTTGGAACGATGCCAATTGAATAAAAGCTAAAACCTGAAAACTTTACGTGCGTTTCCTTGCTTTTTTTTGCGCTTCAACAGTTTTAATTGGATTTAAATGTAACAAAATTAAACCAATTTTTAATTTAATTTAACTTTTTGTTGTAGAATTTGAAAAATCAAATAATGACCACAAATTTATGGGTGGAACAGGTAAAAAATAAAATGACAACCTATTTAAGGTATTTAATTAATTATTTTAAGTCATGGTATGATTACAAATTGAGATGGGAACCTAAAGAATATGGTGGGGTTCATATGCTTCACGTTCCATCAGATCATATTTGGAGACCTGATATTGTGTTATATAATAAGTAAGTATTAGAGGTGCAACAAGTTTTATTTTTTTTTATAAACATTGTAGCAAAAATAATTTAATTATTAAGGAACTAATTTCTTGTGTAAATAAACCGGAATTATGCAGGTCGAACCCGGAAAATGTATGAATATTCACGCTCGCATTGAATTGTTAATTTTCGCGTACAGCAATTAAGGCAACTTTGCTAAATATTGCCCGTTTCATGATTGAATCACCCCGCTTCCATTGCAAATTCAAATCGATCTCAATGAAACAAAAATAGACAAAGACTTTCAAAGAAAAAAGAATTCTTAAAACAAATTGTACCTACAAAGATCATTACCAAGTATTCTGTTAAAGTTGAGACTTTAAAAAAATTGCTCTAAAATTTGAGATAGTTTTTCCTGAAATTTTCTTTGTCCTTTTTCTTATAGAAAAATAAATTCTAAATCGAAATTAAAGAGTAATATTTTATCGATTTAATTTTCGTTTTTGAGATATTCCCTTTTAAATTCATCAATATTGGCATTTTTTGTGAAAACTAATCCTTTCATAGCAAATATCTCGAGAATTAAGCTTAATATGAAAAAATATTATTCTTCTTTTTCGACGTAAAAATTATTTTTTTATTCAATTAATTCATATGATTTTATTTAAAAAAATTTTTTGATAAACACCATCCCAAAAAGTGATTAAAAATGCGAATTTTACATAATCACTTTTATTTCTTTAAATCTTAATTCAATGAGATATTTTTTTCTTGAAATTCTGAAATATTTTTCTTATAGGAAAATAAATTCTAAATCGAAATTAAAGAGTAATATTTTATCGATTTAATTTTCGTTTTCGAGATATTCCCTTTTAAATTTATTAATATTGGCATTTTTCGTGAAAACTAATCCTTTCATAGCAAATATCTCGAGAATTAAGCTTAATATCAAAAAATATTATTCTTCTTTTTCGACGTAAAAATCATTTTTTTATTCAACTAATTCATATGATTTTATTTAAAAAAGTTTTTTGATAAACACCATCCCAAAAAGTGATTAAAAATGCGAATTTTACATAATCACTTTTATTTCTTTAAATCTTAATTCAATGAGATATTTTTTTCTTGAAATTCTGAAATATTTTTCTTATAGGAAAATAAATTCTAAATCGAAATTAAAGAGTAATATTTTATCGATTTAATTTTCGTTTTTGAGATATTCCCCTTTAAATTGATCAATATTGGCATTTCTCGTGAAAACGATAGCAAATATCTCGAGAATTAAGCTTAATATGAAAAAATATTATTCTTCTTTTTCGACGTAAAAATCATTTTTTTACTCAAATAATTCGTATGATTTTCTTTACAAATGTTTTTTGATAAACACCATCCCAAAAAGTGATTAAAAATGCGAATTTTACATAATCACTTTTATTTCTTTAAATCTTAATTCAATGAGATATTTTTTTCGTGAAATTCTGAAATATTTTTCTTATAGGAAAATAAATTCTAAATCGAAATTAAAGAGTAATATTTTATCGATTTAATTTTCGTTTTTGAGATATTCCCCTTTAAATTCATCAATATTGGCATTTTTTGTGAAAACTAATCCTTTCATAGCAAATATCTCGAGAATTAAGCTTAATATGAAAAAATATTATTCTTCTTTTTCGACGTAAAAATCATTTTTTTATTCAATTAATTCATATGATTTTATTTAAAAAAGTTTTTTGATAAACACCATCCCAAAAAGTGATTAAAAATGCGAATTTTACATAATCACTTTTATTTCTTTAAATCTTAATTCAATGAGATATTTTTTTCTTGAAATTCTGAAATATTTTTCTTATAGGAAAATAAATTCTAAATCGAAATTAAAGAGTAATATTTTATCGATTTAATTTTCGTTTTTGAGATATTCCCCTTTAAATTGATCAATATTGGCATTTCTCGTGAAAACGAATCCTTTCATAGCAAATATCTCGAGAATTAAACTTAATACGAAAAAATATTATTCTTCTTTTTCGACGTAAAAATCATTTTTTTACTCAATTAATTCATATGATTTTCTTTACAAATGTTTTTTGACAAACACCATTCCAAAAAGTGATTAAAAATGCGAATTTTACATAATCACTTTTTTTTTTTTAATCTTAATTCAATGAGATGTTTTTTTCTTGAAATTCTGAAATATTTTTCTTATAGGAAAATAAATTCTAAATCGAAATTAAAGAGTAATATTTTATCGATTTAATTTTCGTTTTTGAGATATTCCACTTTAAATTCATCAATATTGGCATTTTTCGTGAAAACTAATCCTTTCATAGCAAATATCTCGAGAATTAAGCTTAATATGAAAAAATATTATTCTTCTTTTTCGACGTAAAAATCATTTTTTTACTCAATTAATTCATATGATTTTCTTTACAAATGTTTTTTGATAAACACCATCCCAAAATACGAATTTTTTTCTTGAAATTCTGAAATATTTTTCGACTTAATCAAATCGACCTCAATAAAACAAAAGTATTCAAAGATTTTCAAAGAAAAAAGAAGTCTTAAAACAAATTGTTCCTACAAAGAAAACTTAAAGAACCTATCATCTTCATTCCTGTCTCTTTTAGATTTTGAATGGAATCAAAGACAAAGACGTTGTTCTTTGTACTATTTTAACGGTTAAAAAATTTTTTCTTCGTTCGGTTTACCGAAGGGAAAAATGTAAAATTTCCGCTCGTCTGCCACTTCATAGCCACTGTTCCAGTTTGAAATCGTGGCAAACAGCTGCCCCTTCCATTTCTCCTCGCGAGTTTCGATCGATACGTACCATTATCGCTGGCTTAAGAGTCTAGCTCCACCACGGCCTGGTTATATACCTCCAAAACGTAGAGAATTTCAAGAATCAACCCTTTTCATACCGACAAAAACAGAGTTAACTCTAACAATCAATATTTTATATAAAAAACAAAATAAATCAAAACAATACAATTATTATTTAATTTTTAATTACTCCTTCTTTTTCTTCTCATATAATTACATCCTTTGACTTCGTGACAATTCCAATCGTTTCTTAATTTTCTTAAATGTTTAATTCTTGTGTTAACTTTTCTTAATTCATCGTCACACATTTTCTCAACTTCCTCTAAATGTTTTTTGTAATTATCGCTTTGTATACGATCTTTAGAAGAAGTTTGGAATATCTCCCCAAAATTACTTTTACTTTCGGTTTTATATAAAGAAGGATCCGAGGAAAATTGATACTCATAATTAGGGGTAACGGTGTAGTTACTCCAATCTACGTTCAAAGGAAAATAAGGACCACGATGGTGATGAGGATGTGAAAGATAATATCGCGATGGCGGAGGGATCATAGACATCATCGATTGCGTGGCCATTTTCTCCTTTTCCAATTGTTGCCTTTCCATCGATAAAAGATATCTTAAATGGACCATCGCTTGGTGGATGTTTCGAATTTTTGCTGCCAAAGGAAAATCTTCGGATGAGTCACCAAATTTTTCGAGGAAACGTTCTTTTTGTTTTTGAATGTTCTGGTATTCTTTCGCTATTTGTTCCATTATCAAGAAAAATTTTTCACTTTTAATTTTGAATGACCAATGACGTTATTGTAATGACAAAACAATAAAAAAAATTCTTTGGTGTGTTCCTTAGCAATTTTTTTATTTTTGCTACGATGTAAATTGAGATTTTTTATGTAAAAGGGGGAAAGGTAAAAAAGTTTTGCATCAGTGCCGTTTTAAGACTTTCGGGGGGATGTGGTAAATTTTATAAGGATTTTCGTGAATTATACAGTGTATATTTTAAATTTTAAATAAACCCAACACACTTTAAGAGATGATTCTTCGACGAATTGGAAACTAGGAAATATTTTATTGTCTACGACTCAAACCAATCAATTTTAATGATTTATTTTGAATAGAAACCTGTCTTAATTAAACTTAATAAGCATTTTATTGTTTTTAATATTTACAATTTTTATCCCCTTAATACATTCTAATATATACAGGGTGGTTCAGTTTTTAATCGGGAAACTTTACTAGGACGTAGTACTTGCCAAAATAACACAAGTTTTTTTTATGAACATAGGGTCGCAACTCTTTTGTTTTCGAGCTATGAGCTGTCAAAGTTGAGCCAAAAATTTACATTTTATCTTTTATTTCGGGTATGAGTAAACCATAGAATTTGGAATTTTGTATGTATGTACTACTGGTTAATATCTTATTTTCAACCATACCTTAAACTTCCCTAGCGCCCTCTAAGGGGATGAAATTCACAACCCCTTTGATTTTTTTATAACAACTTCTTAACGCCATGGAATATTAACAAAGAAAAATATGGGTTGTAAAGCTTATTCATTACTAGTACTTTTTTCTCTCTTTAGTTTTTTCCTTAAAAATAATAGTTTTAACGTAAAAAAATAAAATATGCTACATTGTACTGTAAAGCGCTGCTATTATTAAAAAAAATTTTTCTTTATAGGTGGCTATGGAAGTTGTGCACTTACTAGGATCTAGTACTAACTAAATAACACCAATTAATTGTGATTTTCATAAGAAAAACCATAAATAAGATTAATGCCTGTCTGAACAAATTACGTTGTTTTAAACAATATTAAAAAATTGATACTCTGGCTTAATAACCGTCAAAAATTATTAATAACCAGCAATAATTATGAGGATTCACTGTAAATGAAACTTACAAGTTCTCAGAGCAAACTTTTAGAATAATTTTGGCTAAACATGGCGGCACATAGCAGTGCATGGCACGATATTTTATTTTTTTACACGGAAACTATTAACTTTAAGGAAAATACTAAAGAGACAAAAAAGTACCACTAAAGAGTGAGCTTTACAACCCATATTTTTTTATGTTCATATTCCATAGCGTTAAAAAGTTGTTATAAAAAAAACAAGGGGGTAGTGAATTTCATCCCCTAAGAGGGCGCTGGGGAAGTTTAAGGTATGGTTGAAAATAAGTTCTTAACCAGTAGTACATACGTACAAAGTTTCAAATTCTACGGTTTACTTACAGCCGAAATACAAAACAAAATGTAAATTTTTTTCTCAACTTTGATCGCTCATAGCTCGAAAACAAAAGAGTTGCGACCCTATGTTTATATAAAAAATTAGTGTTATTTTAGCAAGTACTACATCCTAGTAAACTTTCCCGATTAAAAACTGAACCACCCTGTATATATATATATATATTATTAGTATATTATTTTCACTTTGTCTCCTTACCCCCACAACCATTCTCATCCATCGTTTCCCCTCTCCCCCCTCTCCTAAGATCTGCCCTCGGTCCAACTCCTCCTCCCTCAACTCACTGCACCCATTCAACATACACTGTTGGAAATAATTCACGAGCACACCCTGTATAATCTAAACGCGTGTATCTAGCGCAATAAAATTTGGTATGGAAGTAGTACTAAAGTAGTATAACTTACTCTCACACGGAGAACGGCACAACTCTGCTGGGAGGAGAAACATCAATAGCGAGAGTATCCCCCATGAGCTTCGCGTACCATCGGTACACGACGTGGCATGGAGTCTATAAGTCGCTATATTGTAGCGAGAGGGATGGCCAACCATGCCACCACAACTCGCCTCCATAACTCCTCAACGTTAGCCGAGGAAGCCGGATAACGTGGAAGTCTCCGACCAGTCATGTCCCAAACATGTTCGATCGGATTCAGATGCGGAAACCGAGCTAGCCATGGAAGCATTCGTATATGGTGCTCTTCCACAAAGGTCTGTACAACACGCCCGATGAGCTGTCGTACGTTGTCGTGCATGTATAGTAGACCTGGGAGTCGCCGAACGCAGGGAAGCACAACGGACCGTAGCACCTCATCTACGAATCGTTGACCTGTCATGGTCTGCTATACACGCAGCAGACGTGTACGACCACCATATGTAATCGCACCCCATACCATAATGCTCGATTGTCGGTGGATAGGGCGTTCTTGCACACACTGCTCGAGTAGACGATCATCACGGCTCCGACGAACTAAAATTCGCGCATCACCGGTGCTCAATTCGAATCTTGATTCGTCGGAAAACAAAATGTCCCTCTACTGGGCAACCTACTAATGCCTAGCGTCGACCCACTCGTGACGTATGCTGCGGTGCTCAGGTGTTACTGGAATCCGCTGTATCGCACGACGCGCGCGCAGTCCACTATCTACCAAACGCCGCCGTACAGTTCGCGTAGTGAGTGCGCTTTCCCTTGCCGGTGGCCAAACAGCTCCAAGTTGCTTTGAGGAGGACACACACGACGCTAAAGTGCTGAGCACAAGAGCGCGATCCTAGTGTGCTGGGGATGCGCAGGGCCGTCCCGGCCGCGGCTGAAGGTACCTATGTTCTACCTCAGACAATTCTCGCCATGCCCGTTGCACTGCCGATGACGACCGCTCGAGGCGACGCGCAATTTCACAGAACGATAGACCCTCAATGTGCATACCCACAAACATTCCTCGCTCAAACTCGCTTAAGTAACGCGATCGCCCATCCATTGCGCACAGAGTACGATAACAATGTGGTCCCTCACACCACACTAAAAACGACCGGTATTTTCCATCCACTTCGGTCTCCATAGCGACGGAATGTTCCACTTGGAAGGGCGGCTCAGTCAACAATGCCGCGACTCGTCTACAGTAAACCTTTGTGCTCCGCAAATATTATGGATTTATCTTCACGCGTTCAGATTATATAGGGTGTGTTCGTGAATTATTTCCAACAGTGTATGTGAGCATTTTTCAAAAAACCCTAATTATTTCTCAAACTATTAATGTTAGGCATAGGACACATGGAATATAAAAGATGTAAAATGAGACGCCGAAGACGACTAAGTAATAAAATATGGGGGGTGCCATTTAAAAAAATGAAGTTATGGTGCTTCCAAATTTCGAAAAGTTAACGTATCATAGTAAAGTGACCAAACGATCTAGACAGCCGTTCTCGGCACCAAAACATACTCCATCATGTTGTTTAAGCATGTTCTGAATCCTAAATTGATATCTCAAAAATTGAGTGTT